TTGTATGAATTCGGGATTATGATTTTGATATTTGAACTATGATTTTCTTATATTGTTGAAATTTAGTATATGTTTGTGATTCTTGTTATGAGTGGCACATCTTGCAGCTATGGTGTGCCGAATTCTTTTAAAGTTGTTTTTCTGCAAGTTTAGATTTTTAGATCACAAGAAAAATAAGCCGTTATGTTGCCGAAATTTAGTTAGAAAATGAAAATTTTAATAAGTTCATTAACAAACTTTAATGAATAAAAGATAATTGTGTTAATAAATAATAAAATTAAAATTAATTAAACACATTAATAAATTGTTATGTCTGTTGTTGTGTATAGTTGAAATGCCGATTGACAAAAGTTAGATTTATTTGAGGAACTGATTGTCGGATCAATATTGGAATGGGTTATATGCTTTTATTGAGGTCGCCAAAAATTATGAAATTTCAAGTGGCCATATCAGCTGTCCTTGGCTATATTAGGTGAAGGTGCTAGAGTTGATGGCTAAATTGCAGCCCAACATCCAATTACCTACGAATGATCGTCCAGAACCAGTTGCCCTAGACGCTCCTCTGCCTCCTTCAGATGATGACGATCTTGATGACGATTCAGATGCTGGCGATGCTGCAAACTTAGACGATTAGTTCCGTTATATGTACTTTTTTATTTTTCACTTTATTTAGACTTTTATATTTTTTTGAACATTATATATGCACTTCATGTCGTATTCATAATATATTTTATAAATTTATTTAGATTTACTGTTTTTAATATTAATTTATATTTCACTTTTAATGTATCTTAATAAATTCTATTGAGTATGTAACATAATAATATTTAATTAAAAATATTAAAAATTAATTAATTGCTATTTTTTAAAAATTATAAAAAAAATTAATTTCGGTTTTTTGCGACGACTTTTTTAGACTTGTCGTCGCAAAAAAAATAAGATTATTTGTGACGACAATTTGAAATGTCGTCGCAAAAAATCTTTCATATCACGAAAAATTTGCAACGATGTATTAGCGACAATTGTCGTCGCAAATACATTTACAACGACAGTATGTTGTCGCAAAAAACGTTTTTGCGACGAATTATTTGCGCCGACAAATTTGCGACGCCATGTCGTCGCAAAAAACCTTATTTGCATCTAGCTTGATTGCCAGATGGACGGACGGGATCATGTGGCCTTGTAGTGGGTAGGGGATGAAGATGGCGTGAGGCTTTTGAATATTAACATGGCTGGCGCTAATTTCCGCCATTACTATATATGATGCTGATGATCACACAAAGATATATGCAGAGACCAGAAGCTGGTGATTTTCAATATCAGTTCGGTCGCCGAAAAAGATTAATTTGGATCTTGTTCGAGCCTAGGTATATCATGACTCCATTATTATAGATGAATTTGACCCAGACGGTGTTTGTATGTGGCTTATAGGAATTAATGAGTGGATTACCTCTGTTTGCGGCCTTGCAGTGTAACTGTGAGAAAAAAAGGAAAAAAGAAAAAAAAAAGAAGCTTAAGTTGGGTCTTTTCAAGGTATAAAAAATAAGTTATTATGTACTAATTAACAAAATTTTATGAATATTATATGGAGTTTCTATTATATATGCTGAGGTATCTCTACTCGCTAGTGTTTGTTTTTGAACATCTAGATGGCATCAAAATTATATTAATAAAGATCAAAGTTGTTATTGCAATATCGATAGGATAACTTTATACGTAACTTACCCCCATAACATAAAATCATCTTGAATTTATCTTTTATACAACTAAATGGTATATATGTCACGTGTATTTACTTAGTAATACCGGATACGTGTAGCAATGTGCAATACGTACTATACAAATATAAGTTTTCGTTTTGGAGAGTAATATTTCTCAAAGAGGAACGATGCTATATAGGGTATAGAAGATTTTGTGTAGATATTTCCAAGTGCTAGTTAGTTTAATAGTTTCGTATATATGCGCAGAAGGTGAGCCAATTTGCTGTTATTTTCTCTTTATATTAAAAAAGAAAAAAATGTTGTTGTTTTCCTAAATATAGTAGGAACGAACTCCTACTCGCCGGATAAGCCAAATAAGTAGCTGGCCACCATCAGTTACTTGCTGAAAAGCAATGCTATAAGATATTAATAGTGTTTAGCACCACCCACTAATAAAAAGTGAGTCCCGTTGAGACTCACAATAAAACTCATTTTGTATTAATGACGGTGCTTAATATCAGTAGTGCTTCTAAGTATTTTCTTATAAAAACGTTAATATAGTGTAGCCATCATCTAATGCTATTAATGACAATATAAATTCATCTTCGTTTGTCTACATCTTCTTCTTCTTCTTCTTCTTTCCCATTTAATTAGCACAAAAAGATGACTTTAACATGTGGTCTAGTTTGGTATGACTATATGACTAGACCTTGTTAAAGTCATATATATATATATATATATATATATATATATGTATGTGGGACAATTCAATATATATAATTACCAAACGTAGCACTAGCTCACTTCCACGAACTACAAGATGTAACATACATATGCCAAACGATGGTTATTTCTTACCTGTGTTTCATTCCGTGTGCACTTGTATTCTGCCATTCACATAAGAAAAATCTTTTCTATCTGCGAAAGCGGACAAATACATGCAATGGAGTTCTCGTCCAAAAAATCCGTTCATACGAGTAGCTAGGTTTTTTTTTTCGGTCGAATATAGAACCGAAGAAGAGCAGAGACAATCAAATGGGAAAATTTCATATTTTTACTTTTTGTATACTATTAGACCACCGCTTTAATTGAATGAAACCAATCTATTGCTATAGTACAGTGTATATATATATATATATATATTGTGTTTATATGAGTGAATAACACCTTCGAATTAAGACGGGTCAAAGACCAACGGAAGCACAATAACAAAGAGGCAGAGCCTCACACACACAACCCTCCAAGAAATGGGAAAAACCAGGCTCAAAGGAGCCTCATCACGTCCAGGCAACAACCTACTCTCAAGGGTGAGAAAACCGATCGCCATTATCCATGGGCCAAAATATTTCATATTCTACGAATCCAAAGAAAACGACGTGACGAGCATGGACATTGAATATAATCACGACATTATTTATTAATAAGTTTGGGAAGTAATTGTTAGGTTTTTAGCTTGTAAGTTCGAAAGTCGTTAGTTGATAATTAACGTAACCTGTTACCCTCTTTAGAATCGTGTTATGCCATGCTTGTGAGTCTTGCCATTTAATATCCCAGCCTATCTATCATAGCTCATATGGATATAGCGAACCATAATCTACTATAACATTTAACACAGCTAAAAGTTCTAATTAAGCTTAACACTTAATGATGTTTGATAATTCAACTGCCACCTTCCCTTAAAAAAATTATTATTTTTTCATTGTTTCGTCATTCGTGCTAAAAGTCTTGAAACTTAGCCGCATACAATCTGCCACGGAACACCCCTATTCATCCTCATATTATTAAAACTTCATTATTCATGTGAAGTGAATCCCGTTTGGTGGATAGGTGTTACCTAATTTAGCAGGACCAACTACTTTGTGAGTGTGAGGTTTTATCTCCATAGAAATTGTCATCATTTTGTCCACCATCTTATAATGTTGTGTTGTGCAGTGAGCAATTTTTTTTTTTATTAATGTAGAGTGCGAGATTTGAACTATACACTTTAAGATAATATAGATTTACCGTTGTATTATGTCTTATGGTTTACGGAGTAAAGAGGGAAAAAAAGCTCCATTTATTCTAAGCAATTAGATATTACAATATTACTCATAGAGACAAATGCATCGCCCTGAAAAGGGTGGGAAAGGAGAATAATAATTTGGGATGGTACCAGAGATGAGAATAGTATCTTATCCTCGAATTGTGACAGAAACAGAGTAAGAAAAGCACTCTCCAACCGGCCTTCGTCCTGATATGTTGGGAATAGTGTCCTAAAAGCATGAGATGTAATAGGATATTTATTATTTAATTAATAAAAGAGTTTATTCATCATTTTATGTGCATATATTTATGAATATTTGATGAATATCAAATGAAAATTCCGTGATTATTTATGTAATCTTAAACATTGTATATAAGTGTTGTATACGAGAGGATAATGTTTAAAGATAATAATAAAAAATGTTGTTCATAATGAATTTAATTAAAGTTCAGAATCTTTAATTAAAACATTATTAATACATGTCATTCTCATTTAGAATGGAACGGTGCTATCCGCAATGTTAATATGGTGAGATATTGAATGAGTGTATTTCGCATAATGAGATTGTGTGGAACAGGGACACATACACAATATGAATTTCTAATAATTTCCGTTAAGCATAGAAATTCTAATTGAGTCTACCGATGGTCATATATAGAATGATCTTAATCCTGAGTTTTTAACAAACTCTTATTTATGGATTTGTGTCTTTTGATTTACTCGGTACGGATTCCGATACCTTGAATCATATTCCTTGTATTTTGGAGACATGATGAAATAGGTAGCCGGGAATGTTATTATACGAGATGGAATCCATTCCTTCTTGAGAAAGAAGTAGATAAATAATTCTCTTGAGTGTTGATTCGGTACTTGGATTAGTAAGAGCGCTCTGGTTCATGAATGTGTTTTATGAATCACTATCCATTAGAGAATCAATGGTACTTAAGGATGA